TGCAAACTCCCCAGTCACTCTCCACATGGCTGCTTATATTCCACAAATATAACTGATTTTGCAAAGCACAGTGGGCCCACGGAGAAAGAGGCCCATTGATGTTCTTCACTCGCTGGTCACTTATGTGCGTTTTAGGTATAACTCTTCCTTGCTAAAGAGGGAATCTTTATAACCAAATCCATAATAAAATATTTTTATTTTCTGTTATCCTGTGGTTTCGGTACTGAAGCTCATCTCACACCATTTGTTCACGGTATTTCTGCTATCCCATTAACTTGCCAGCAGCCTGTTGAGAAGCATTGCCCTGTTCTGCAACACAGTGGCTAAACATCCCCATTAGTATGGAAAATACTTGTTTCTGCTCTAGCTGCTTCTATCAGTTCTATAAAGAGACTGCAGTAAAGAAACGTTGGAATTTTCTTTAAGAGCAAACAACAAAAATTATCATCACAAAGAAAATGTAAGATTATACAAGAGTGCTTATCTTGTCTGCCTTTCCACAGTGCTGCTCCTGATGAACTGTTTGCTACCATATTCTTCAGGTGCTTTACATTTTGCATGAATATTATTTTAATACCACTTTCCAGAATTAATAAGGTGCTGTTCTGAATATTCTAAAATCAATATTGACTGTTTTAAATTGTTAAAATAGTTTTGGGACCAGAAAAAAAAAATCATAAAGAGAAGATCCATGTTATTTTGTCAGTGTTCCTATGTGTCTCTGTTAGGAGTGTGGGCTTCTCTCCCAGTGCCAAGGAGAAGGAGGTGGTGAATGGTTGGACTCGATGGTCTTAAAGGTCTTTTCCAACCTGTGACAGAATGCACTTCAAAGTGGAATTCAGCTGCTGTGAACCCTCTGGTGGAACCATGTCCAGACCATACTGAGGCAGGAGAGGCTTCTATGAGGTTTCAAAAATTAGGCAGCCTGAATCAGCCCTTCACTACAAGTCATGATGGAACAGCCCCCCAACAGAACTGGGATGGCAAGTCTCTGGCACAGCCTATGGAACCTCTGTTTTCCATGCATAACAGTTAATCTAAACAGAGGATACAGACTAACGTTTGTAATTACCTTTGTGTCTTAAGCTTCAAGATGGTTTTTTTCATTGCTACCTAAAAATTGACAGTATTCAGTAAAAGCAAGGCACTTGTTTGCATTGGAATGTGATGTTATGTCACTGAGATAAGTATGAAGATAATTAAATATGAGGATAAATACCTTTTAAAATGTTAACAAGCATGTTACATGAAGATCCGTGTAACTGGTCAGTAAACAATGATACATGAACATGAAATAAGTCACCTGTATAGATGGATTTACTATTTTCTTGGTAATGTTTGTTGCCTTGCCATTGAGTGCTGTGGAAAATCATTAAACACAACAGAAGGTGGAAATTCCGTGATCAGAAAATCAGAGGAAACAAGCAGTTTACTAACTGGCCATGTGAGAACAGATTTCCCATGTTTTAAACCAGAATAGAGTATTGCCTTGGTTTATCTTATCACAGAATCATCTCAGGTTGGAGAAGACCCCTAAGATCATCATGTCCCACCTTTGGCTGATCGCCACCTTGTCAACTAGACCGTGGCACTAAGTGCCATGTCCAACTGTTTCTTGAACACCTCTAGGATTGGTGACTCTGCCACTCTATCCTGGGCAGTCCATTCCAAGTCCATTATCTGACAGGAATTTAGCACTTGTTATTTCTGATATTCATCTCCCACTGAATAAGAAGTCAGTGTGGGATGTATGCAAGACCCTTCCTCACAGCAGATGTGAGCAAGAAAACTTGCACCTGTCGCACAAGTGAGCTGGGAGGTGCCACAGGGGGTGCAGAGACCAAGGAGTGTAAAAATACAGAGAAAAGGGTGCTTGCTTTTATTTCTTTCTTTCTTTTTTTTTTTTTTTTTTCCCAAATTTAATGTGATTAGAAAGGCACAGAACCCTGTCTACACCCTAGCCCCGTTATGCTGATTTTGGCTGGGGAAGAGTTAATTTTCTTTGCAGTGGCTGCTATGGGGCTGTGTTTTGGATTTGTGCTGGAAACAGTGTTGATAATTCAGAGATGTTTTTATTATTGCTGAGCAGTGCTTAGACAGAGCCAAGGCCTTTCCTGGTTTCTTACTGTCACGCTGGGCAGGAATCTGGGCGTGCATGGGAGGTTGGGAAGAGACACAACTGGGACAGGTGACCCCAACTGACCAAAGAGATATTCCAGACCAGGAAGAAGGAAGAAGGGACATTTAGAGTGATGGTGTTTATCTTCCCAAGTCACTGTTATGCTTGATGGGGCTCTGCTCTCTTGGAGGTGGCTGAGCACCTCTCTGCCCATGGGAAGCAGTAAACTAATTCCTTGTTTTGCTTTGCTTGTATGTGCAGCTTTTGCTTTTTCTATTTAACTGTCTTTGTCTCAACCCATGACTTTTCTCACTTTTGCCCTTCTGATTACTCTGCTCCTGTTGATGGGGAAGTGAGCAAGTGGCTGTGTGGTGCTTGGTTGCCAGCTAAACTTAAAACACGAGAGTCATTTGTATACTGAGCACAATGTCGTATGGTCTGGAATATCCCTTTGGTCACTTTAGGTCACCTGCCCTGGCTGTGTCTTCTCCCAAATTCTCATTCACCTCCAACTCTCTTGCCCAGCATGACCAATACGAAAAGCAGAAAAGGCCTCGACTTTGTTGAGTGTAAGCACTGCTCAGCAATAACTAAAACATCTCTGTATTATCAACCCTGTGTTCAGCACAAATCCAAAGCACAGACCCATACCAGCCATTGCAAAGAAAATTAACTCTTCCCCAGGCAAACCAAACACATCCATACAGTGCAACAGACAAGTAGGAAAGCTGGTGAAGGGTTTGGAGCACGAGTCCTGTGAGGAGCAGCTGAGGGTGTTTAGCCTGGAGAAAAGGAGGCTCGGGGGAACCTCATCACTCTCTACAGCTGCCTGAAAGGAGGCTGTAGCCAAGTGAGGTTGGTCCCTTCTCCCGGGCGACTCATGAGGGGAGGAGAGGACGTAGTCTTAAGCTGCACCAAGGTAGGTTTAGGTTGGACATTACAATAAAATTTTTCACAGAAAGGTTGATTATACATTGGAAGGGGCTGCCCAGGGAGGTGGTGGAGTCGCCGTCCCTGGAGGTGTTAAAGGAAAGACTGGCCGTGGCACTGAGTTGACACTGAGGGTGGTGTTTGGACATAGCCTGGACTCGACGATCTCGGTGGTCTTTCCCAGCCTAATTGATCCTGTGATTCTGTGCTGCCGATTCCACGATCTCTTGAGTGTCCGGATCTCCCTCACAAACGCTGCGGGGTGACACCCAGAGCCGCGCCTACAGGTCTGAGGGCTGGTGTGCGTGTCCTTTGGGCACTGGGGCGCTTCCCCCTCGCCCCGCGGGGGTCCCGAATATCCCAGCCCGGGACGTTCCCCCTCACACCGGCCGGCGGCAGCACGCGCACCGCGCGCGGGGCCGCCCCGCCCCGTGACGTCACGCCGCCGTGACGCCGCCGCTCCCTCCCCGCCCGGCGCCGCCATGTTCAAGGTGAGGGAATAGGGATCGCCCCTGGTCCATCCGTCCGTCCGTCCGTCCGCTCCCGGCCCCGCTCCGCCGGCAGCGCCCGCGGGATCCCACGGAGGGGCCGCGCTGGGAGCGCCCGGCCCGGGGCGGGGGCAGCCCCGGAACGCCGCAGCAGCGAGACCCGGAGGGGCATCCCCCCCCCCCCGAACCGCCCGCGGGGTTTTGCCTCTTAACCCTTCACAGGCTCTTGGTTCTGCTCTCGCTGCAGCCGCTTAATCGCTCTTTTTAGCGCTTCAAACCCGCGCGTCCTCCGTGTTGCACGGGAAGGAACCGCGTTCCTTGTCCAAAGCTGCCCCAGGGGCAGAGCTGCCGTGCCGCAGGGCCGGCTCCGTGCGGGCACAGCGCGTTCCGCGTTCGCAGTCCCCTCTCGCTTTAGCGCTGCGCCCCGCAGAGCCGGGCTGTGTCACCGCAGAGCCGGGCTGTGTCACCGCAGAGCCGGGCTGTGCCACCGCAGAGCCGGGCTGTGTCACCGCAGAGCCGGGCCGTGCCACCGCAGAGCCGGGCCGTGTCACCGCAGAGCCGGGCCGTGCCACCGCAGAGCCGGGCCGTGTCACCGCAGAGCCGGGCTGTGCCACCGCAGAGCCGGGCTGTGTCACCGCAGAGCCGGGCTGTGTCACCGCAGAGCCGGGCTGCGCGCAGCTGCCGCGCGAAAGTCACTTCAAAGTGACAACCCGGCCGTGAAAAGTGTCCCTTTGGTGCGTGGAGGCTGTCAGTGAAACCTGCGAAAAACACGAGCCGGGGCTTTTTTGTCTGAAAGGTCTTTGCCTCCAGTAAGAGGAGCCCCAGATCCTTTCAGGCCAGCAGCGAGCTGTGTGTTTCAGTCAGGTTGTTGCCACGGCCGCTCGAGAAGCCAGGAGGGTTTTATTTAAAAAAAAAAAAAAAAAAAAAAAGGTGATGCTCGATTCTTTGTATTCATTCTCCTAGGTACTGTTTTTTGTTTCAAATATTGATAGTATATATCAATATACTAATATATACTAAATATACTAATGTAACTAAAACACAAGAAGTTCCACCTCAATGTGAGGAAGAACTTCTTTCCATTGAGAGTGGCTGAGCACTGGAACAGCCTGCCCAGGGAGGTGGTGGAGTCTCTTTCTCTAGAGACATTCAGACCCCACATGGACATGTTCCTGCTCAGGTGACCCTGCCGTGGCAGGGGGGTTTGGACTGGATGATCTTGGAGGCCCCTTCCAATCCTAACAATTCTGTGATTCTGATCTGCTGAGCAGACCACACCTGCTCTGCTCTTGTTGCAGCTTCTTTTTTCTTGTTGTGACAGTTGCTGGAATTCTTTTGTGAGGGTTTTTTTTTTGTTGGAATCATTGACAATCCCATAATTGATACTGAATTGTCATTAAAGGGGTTATGTGTGAACCTGTGGGTTTAGGCAGTATGCATAGTACTATTATTTTTATACATTGAGGTTAGGCAGATGTAGGTGCTTCAGGCCAACCTGATTTTATACCTCTAAGAGCAAAATGGGAAGGTGGCTTTTTGTCCTTGATATTTGTGCTTCGTGGACAGGAGCGCTCAAGAGTTTGGGTTTTGGTTTTGTGTTTTTATAGTTGGGGTAGGATAATAGAAGGAAGAACAAAAAAGGAGAGAAAAATGAAGTGGTTTTGTACATTAGGACAAATATCAGCCTTCTCAGAAGTATGCTCAAGGGTTTGGTTTTTTTCCCTTTCTGGTTTTCTTTTCCCACCTGTTTTGACAAGGTGACAATAAAAGCAATAAATAAATTGAGAATCCACAGACAAGAGGAAGAAAAGAAAAAAAGTTCTAGTTAACCTCTAGCTTTTTGTTCTCCTGTTTGAGAACTAATATGGGATTTATGCTTTCCACAGATATTTTTTAGTTAAGAATTAAGAACTTTGAGAGAAGCAAGGCAACAGAAAATGAAATATCATGGTCTTTTCTCCCTCCTGCTTTAGGATAGAATTTGCTTATCTTGTGTCTGAGGATAGAATTGAATTCTTCAGCTAGAGGGAGGAGTAAACATAGCATCTTTTTTACTCACAGTAACTGCAAAGCATTGTCAAGAGAAAAGAATGTTGGGTTTACTCTTATTGATATCAACGGAGTAGCTGTAAGACAGGCAGGGAAGAGACATCTCAGTCAGTCAAAATGCTTTACTGAACCAATTGGTGGTTAGTATAGAATTAAGAAATGAGATCCTGAAGGTTATTTTGGAAGCAAAAAGTGCAGCAGTTGATCTTTGATACTCCCAAATAAATGTTTTCATGTGTGTGGTATTTCAGCTCCAGTTCTGTCTGTCCCATAGCTCTCTGTAGCAGAGGTAGAGGACTGTTGCACTATGTCCTGAACAGCACGTTTAAGAAAAGATTCAACTTGCACTTTTAGTGGTTTATTTCATTTTTTTAAAACATGAAACAGTGAAAAATGACTGCATTTCAGTATCTTGATAATATAAATGGTTGACATTTTCAGTCTGAGTAGTTCTGTGATCACTGATACCTGTTTGTGAAACCAAGGTGCTTTCATTCTTGTGCTCTACTGTTTGTGTCTTTATATAAAAAAAGTCAAATATTTAAAGCATTTGGATTTACTATTTCTGCTGTGACACTTAGCACCATTTACGTTGTATGAAAACATGTTTCAGAATGAAAATGCATTTAGATTTTTGCCTTTTCAGTGACAGAACAATTTTGCAGTGAAAAAAAGGAAAGATTGAGGAAATAAACTCTGCAGTTATTAATGGTTAGTAGTGTTTGTGGTGTTGTCTTGGCTAATGGAAGTATGTGAAAAGTGTTTAAACAAACACTATGAAAGATTATTCTTGTCTTTTCTTAGCTGCGAAACAGCTGATCCAGTCATTGTGGTGTTTCATTTATAGTGCTATAGTAATGCATCCATAAAGTCAAATAAGGAAAAACTTCCATTTTAGGCAAGTTTTTCCATACCTTTTGACCCTTACGCCTTCCTGAAAAGCAATCCTGTGACCTAGTTCTTGTGTGCTGTTTCTCTACACATAAGTGAGAAGGAAGTTTGGCAAATGTATAGTCTGATTTTTAATTTGAGGAGGCTCGTGGTTCATTTAACAAACATTCTATCTGCAAAGCAGTGGAAGAGAGTTAAGCTACAAATGCTTATCTGTGTGCACTAAGCTGATGTGGTCTGGATAATTTTAAAGCTGTTTTCTAACAGTTCTGCACTGGACAGGAAGTTTCAGAGCAAATTGTCCTGTGGCAAGGCCAGTTGTCCTCATCACAGCATGAAGGATGTATTGGTGTGACCAAGGCTTCAGTGTCACAAGCAGCTAGGTCACTACTTCTGAAAAGGTAGAGGATTTGCTGCCTTCTCCTTTTTCATCCCCTCCCCCCTGGCCATGCCATTCCTCTGGTGCTCGTCAGGCTGTTTTATGAATGGATTCAACTTGCTAAGCCCCCGCACAGCTCTCCAGGAGCTCTGGAGAGGACTGATCTTTCAGGACTGATCTTTTCCCAAATTGCTGAGGTGAAATTGCCTCACGGTGGAAGCACCTGGCCAGCAGAGCTAGGGCAAGGTGAGCAGCAGGACTCCTGGAGCCTGTGCCAGAGCAGGGCCAGGCGTTTCTAGTTTGCTGTTAGATCTTCTCACCTGTAACCTGATGCAGCAAAACACTGCCTGTTGTAACTACACTTTTCCCTGAGCAGTAACAGGAATGTGAGACACTGAAAGCTTTCCCATTTGAACTGCCATTTCTGGAGTTATACTTTGCTGTTGATAAGGATGCACAGTTGTTGGGAAATGCTCACTGGGCATTCTGGATTTGCTACCCAGCTAAAGTTTTCATCTTCTGTGTTTGTTTTTTTAAGTTGAAGCAGACTTTGTCATTAAGAAATGCAGTTTAGTGTAGGTCCTGAATGTCAGAAGAATGGTATCCACCTTACTTGTGGTGGTTGTGTGACTGGGTTGAATCTGAAGTATTCAAAAACAGTCAAGTAATTCATGTTTCTCACAGAAAAGTAGGAGGCATTCCTAAAATTCTTAGAAAGCAGTGATTATGCTCTGATATTTTCAACTGTAGATCTCGTTCTTTTCTCGAGTCTAGATGCAAATTCTAACTAGAAGTAAAATGCTGAACAACAAATTGAAGTGTTATGGGTGTTCACAAAGTTGCTTATAATATGAATTTAATCTTAGTATTTTTACTGAGAAAGATAATAAAAATTTTGGTTTCAAATGAGAGAAAACAAGATGGTTTTTAGAGATGAAAACTGGTAAGATTAGCATTTATATTTACTGTCTCCTTTAGCCTTAGGCTTCTCCAAATACCATCTGAATAATTTAGGTGTTACCATTTGTGTGCCATAAACTGTGTACTGCTGACCCCCCTTTCTCCTAATTTCTAAACATCTTAATATGTCTCTTTTTACCATATAGAGGTACTTAAACGTTGTCTACATGGATGTGTTCAAACCTTGCCATTTTGTTTGCACTTAATGGTGTCCTTGTGTCCCTGCAGTGTTTCCAGGTAATTCGGCTGGGGGCCACCCCTGTCAGCCTGAGCTTCCTCTCTGTCCAGGTTTATGCTGCTTCCTCAGAGAAGACTTCCAAAAAGGAGTTGCTTAAAATTGAGGAGGTAAGTGTGGTTAGAGCCTTAGCGCTCCTTTATCTGAAGGATTCTGAAAGACGTTATATGTTTAGGTGCATCTCTTCACCTTTTGTATTCTTGCCTTTAAATTTGCTTCTCAATTTTCCATAATAGAGAGGTCTACATAGTTCTGCTTCTTTTACCTGGGAGTTTCATTTGATGTCCTTCACTTGATAGCATCAGGCTTGTTTGTGTGTAAGAGCTTTTTCCTACATTAAAGCTTTCTGTTCTTCATTCAGAAATTACGTTTTTGTGTTTGTAGATTTACTTGTGGTTGTACTTCAAATACACAGGAATGTTTTCTTTGCTTTTTATCCAGATGACACCATTTATTTTTTAGTGTAAGTACTGTTGGCAAATTCTAATAAAATTTCGTTTATGTTCTCCATGAAAACAGCAAATCAAAATGTTTTATTTCTAAAAATATCTCTTTATTTTATGACCAAAATTCTTGTCTGGCACTATTTTGAATCTGCTATAGTAGCTTACAGAATTTTACCAGTTTTTCTTTCTTTACAGCATTTGGACTTAAGCAACAATAAATGCAATAAGGAGTGGTAATAAATACCTGTCACCTTTTTATTTCTCTTAAGATGCTACAAACATCTTGGTTACGTCACAAGTAGAGCTTTAAACACCCTGTCAAACTACAGGCTCACTAGCATTGTTGTATAGTCTTTTAAAAGTCTCCAATATTAAAAAAATATAAAATAAGTAGTTCATAACTAAATACAGGTTTATGTCCATGATAGTGTGTAGTTGTTTAAAAATTTTAAATACTTCAATCCAAGTAATTACATAAGCAGTGACACTGAATTAGACTTACTTTTGTGTATCCTTGGGCCTTTTGGAGTTGTTTGCATGGGCAGTTCACTTGTACAGTGTGAGAGGATCAATAATTGAAGTGATCTCCTGGTTTTACCCCAGCCCAGTAACCTCGGCTTGGGTTCACCTCATACCTGCACTGGCATGAGTCAGTCCTGAGGCAGCAATGAGCACTTCCATGTGTGCTGAGTAATTGGCTTGCCCAGCAAAGCACCATGTGCAAACCATGGAGTTTTGGCTGCCTTTCTTGCCATTCACAGAGTATTAGTTTGGATCTCTACTGTGTCAGCTGTCAAGTTGCATAAAATATATGTGAATTTCCCTATCTCTGAGGCTTCTGTCCCTGTGCCAGACATGGTTGTTAGATTGTCCAACAGGATCCAAGTTCAACTTGTGACTAGGGTTGCAAGGATGACCAGATTTCATAAGGAAATGAGACTGAAAATGCTTGTCTTTTTAAGTATTATGGGGAATCCAGCTGCACGAGTTACCAAACTATTGACCAAATTCTATGTGGTTACATACTTTGTTATGATTAGCAGCTTTTTTTGTTGAGATAGAGATACAGTTCTTTTCCAGCTCATCATGAAAAAAGGGCTAGCTACACTTTGATGCAGCAATATTTGTAAACATCAGTTTATAATGAACTACTAAGTGGAGTAAAAATCTGGTATAAAATACAAGCTCTTTATACTAAACATCAGCATAGTATATAAACTGCTAGAAATTGTAACAGATTTTGTTTTGATCTTTATAGACTTTTTTTTTTTAATGGAATACATTTTTAAATATGCTTAGGTAATTTTAATAAATGTCATGCTAAACCCCAAATAGGGTGGTTTAGTATTTATTATGTGAAGAATGCCCAGTGCTGGTTAAAATTCCTCTTTGCTCAGCCCCAGAGTGCTGTTAATGCTGTCAGTTGCTGATGTGGTTAATGACCACAGTGTAGGGATGTTGTACCATTTTCCTGCTCAGTAACAAACATTTGTATGGGATGTTACCTTTGTTGGAAGCTGCTCAGGCTATTTATTGATGTCTTGTGTGAATATAGAAAATGATAGATTATGATTTCTAGTACATTTACTATGTTAAGTGGGAGCCATAAGTGCTGATTAAGGCAAGAAACATTTTTCATAATTATGTATTGTGTTCTTATTAAACTAGTTTAATATGAATTTATAACTTGTGACTTGGATCATGTAGCAGCTATGAATGAATTGCATAGCAGTTAGAAGTCATCTTCATCATAATTATGTACTGTATAATTAAACTTTGCTCATAATGGTTGTCTCACAGCTGTGTAAATTTTTATTATGCATTATTTATGTAGTAAGCACAGTGTTAGATGTTCTCTGCTTAGACTGTTCATGCCCTCAAGACCTACTTGCACAATTACACCTTTGTTTTTAACCTCTTGTTTGCTAATATTCACAGCTGTCACTCTACTCCTCTCCAGCTCGTGAGACTAAATATGTGGAGAATCCACAAACTGAATTGGAAGAGGGGGTTTCACGTTTACGGCGTGCCATGGAGCCATACACAGCCTGGTGTCAGGTATAATGGTTTATATCACATCTGGTAGTGGCTCAGTGGTAAGGGTTGAGCTGTGTGATTTTTTTTCTTCCCCCCAGAGGTGGAATTAACAGGTAAAAGTTGATAGCTGTAAAAGCGTTTTTCAAAAATGCTGCATTATTTAAAGTTTTCTGCATTACTTAAAATTTTCCACAGTTCAGGTCGTAAATGTTTACCCCCTTCTCACACTTTCTACTAATTTTCTGAGCTAAACCCCTGCTTTTTTTTGCACTTTGTCTCCTTCCAAAAAAATTAAAATTAACTAAAGCGTAGAATTGTTATCTGAAATGAATTTTCTGTGTAAATATATCTAGAGATGTCTGGATTTGTTACTGTCCTGTGGCTGAGGAAGACAGGAGAATGATAATCAAATTTGCAGTTTCCATACTCAAGGAGAAAGCCTTAAATTATCAAGAGGTGTGTTTTGGAGCAGCAATACCAAATTGCCCTCACTGCAACTGTGACAAAACATAACTTTGCAGAAAATAAATCAGTATTTGCTGAACTGGCAGTGGTAAACCTAATCCCCAGACCTTACCCCTAAACATTCTCATACATATTTTATTAGGTAGAATGTTTATAGTAAACAGTCATTAAATGCAAAAATAATCTCTGGAGCAGAGAATAAATCCAAGATCTTTGCAATCGAGGCCTAAATTGTTAGTATTAGATTGCAAAGTCCTAGCAGGGCTTCCTTGCTCTTTCCTGACACAACAAATGTTGAGGCTTACTTTGGAAGCAAGGGCATCCTTGCCGTCTGGTTGCTCTTGGCAACTTTAGGCAATTCTCTACTTTGCCCTCTGGCTGTTGTGAATCCTCTTTAAGCTGCAAACTTCCTAGTTCTCCATAGAAAGCCAAGCTGTCCACACCAGGGTGTCCTTTCTGCCTGGAAGTTCTGTGTGGTGGTACCTCCTTTAACAGGAACGCAACATTGCAGGAATGCAGAGGTATTCACTGTTACTCAGTCTAGTGATGTGCAGGAGCACTGGCTGCAGTCTGGAAGCTGAAGGGGGGTTTTCACGGGATAGTTAGAGCTCTGACCTCCTGAACACGTGGGTTCTGTTTGGTTGCCTGTGGTAACCATAACCAGGGAATGAAATTTGAGAGCAGGGTAGTCGCCCACTAGGACTGAGGGCAGGTAAGCCTTGAACCTTGTTTTATGTCTCGCTGGCCTGTTGTCATCTTATTTGTTTTATTTATTTTTTTTGTTTGTTTGTTTGTGTGGTGACCATTTAATCACATAAGATGTGCTCTTCTGCTCACACACAACAAACCACTTCCTGGCAGTGGTTTACTGACTCATTTTATGAAGCAGGCATGTCAGCTTTATGTGTTTGGGGTAATTTTTGTTTGCTTAACTGTAGTTAGAGGTAACTTTGTTTTACACCACCCCCTGGTATGTTGAAGATAATAATATTGAATAGTGTCTCAGTTGTCTTTAAAATTAAAAACAGCGTGGGAAAATGAGAATAAAATTGGTTATGTTTGCACATCCATTTTACTTTTTCAAAATTACTTAACTGTAGTGGAAATTCAGTTCAAAACTCAGGTGTAGAAATGAGCCAGTTATGCTTCAGCTGTGACAGAAGATCAGACTTAATTAGTCTCTGGGGTCTTTAGACCAAGTTCTTTTCAAATCAGCTTTTAATAAGACCAGCATCCATTTAGAGTCATGTCCCATATGACATGCTAACGCTTTTTTATTTTCATGACAAATTGTGTTTTTTTACGTCGCTCTTGCCAGTGAGGAAACGAAAGTTCTAAAATTATTATCCCGATGCAGTATCCTAAATAAAACATCATAGGTAGAATTGTGAGACCATTCTCTGCTTTATCTTTGGGCATGTATATTTATGAACTTGTTTCCTAATTTATAGATAGCCTTACACCATCCTTCTGAAGGATTGTTAGCATAAATAACAATTAGCAGGGTTCTCTCTATTGGGATTTTTTTTTCTATTTTAGAGAAACACAAAGTGAATTCTTTTACTTCCTGCATATTTTCAATCTGAAAAAAATCTAGAACTAGTCTGTGGGGTTGGTGCAGAATTCTTTGATTTACTTTGGACATTGTATGGACGTCTCATTTTCCAAGTCACTTCTAAAATGCAGGTTTTTTAGCCTAAGACAGTCTCCTGGAAAGTGGAATTTATCACCTTGCAGAGTGAATCCCATATCCCTGTGAAGTGCAAGGAAGGATTTACTGCAGTGTTGGACTTCTTTTCTTTGCATCGGCTCAAGTATCTTTGTGAGACCTATGCACACTGAGAAACCTGAGCTAATTCTGAGTTTCAGCTACCTGATCTTAATAAAACATTGAGATTGACTTCTGCATTTTGAAGTATTATATTTCATCTGTGTCCAAAGACTACTTTGAGAAAAATCTGTAAGTTATGCCAAATGTAACACTGAGGAAGCACAGTCCTACAAGGGAAGGGTGAAAGTGGGAATACAAGGAGTTATTTTAGTGACCCAGCACTTTTTTCTTTCCTGTTATGGGTTTGTTTTTTTTTTCCTTTCTTTGTCAGGTCAGTTACAGTCTATAGTTAATATTTTACTCACTGGGTATCTATTTACTATTGTTCTCTCTTTTTTTTTTTTTTTTAGGATCTTTATGCCAAAGCTATGCCCAATTTAGAAAAAGCTGTTGAGCATGGTAGAGGTAAATCAGCTGAGTTTTCTTAACTAGCAATTTAAAATGCAGGACTGTATTATATCTTCTGTTAAAAAGGAATTCCAGTAAGCATCATTATATGTATAATTTCTAATGCTTTTACTTTATTTGCACCATGTATCTGTTTAAATTTCCTTTGTGAGTCATTTAGGACACTACATTTCTAAACAATTAAAGTCTGAGACCAGCATCTGTGTTTATAAATGTCACTCAAAATTAGTTATGCAGGAAAATAAAGGAAAAAAACCTCACAATTTATTCCCAGCTAGTAGTATTTGCATGACCCAGCCTGGTAGCTGAAACTTCCTGTAATGATTATAACTTGTTGCAAACATTAGGTCTTTTGTTTGTAATGCTTAGCCTTTTCTTTTTGATTTACTTCCATGCATCCCCAAAGAATTTTGAATTAATCCAAAATGATCTGTATTTGTTTTTTATTTTTGTAAGCATCCTTTCATAATTAGGCTTACCAGGACTGAGCATGGATGCTATGTAGAGCTCAATTCAAATACTGCATCTCTTTTCCTTAAATTCAGCAGTCTCAGTCTTTTGAACTTGTTTGTATGGAATATTTTTCATAGTTTTCCATTCCCCGTTTTGGAGCAAACTTTGTTTATGCTGTGTCTTTCCATTGCTCTGTGATTTGGTTTTTTGTACAGTGTTTTACTGAAATTAATTCCTATTAACATGTAACTGTAAAATTCCACTTTGCAAAGGTTTTTATCACTAATTTGAAAAAGATATGATCGGGATGCAAAAGAGCAAAAGCTCCTATGAAAATTGGTGAATACAATACAATGTTCGGTTTCATTCATGTGTCACCAGAGAACATCTCAAAGGCTTTGAATTTTATGCCAGCAAGTCTAAAATGGGCATGATAGTTAAATGTGTTTTGATAACCCTTTGTGTTTTTAACAATTACCAGTGTGTATTGATGATTCCTTATCACAAACACACTTTCACATTACATTAAAGCACTTTGTTCTGACTTCTTTTCAGAGGGTTATGAATTTCTCCAAAAACCGCCTGCTGGATTTTATCCAAGACTTGGTGTGATAGGTTTTGCTGGAATTATTGGATTGTTTCTTGCTAGAGGTAAGTGGGAACCTTTTGAACTGGTTATGTTATGATTTTGGGAAAAGTAGTTTATTTGTGGGTTTTAGGGTACTAATTTTTAATTTTGACGACGAGATCAGAATTAATGTATAAGCTGTACAAATTTTTCTACAATGTTCCCCCAGTTATAAAGAAGCTTCATGTAAGAGGTGTGTAATAACCATCAATTACTGTTTTATGGATGCTGTATTTGTTACTGGAATCCACTCTTTGATATTTCCCAGTTCTAGCTTAGTATGACAAAAATGGGAAAGGATTAGTTTGGGGGTTTTTCACCTAAAAATCTTTTTAATTATTAAAGTTTTTGATCACATATGTTACTGTAGAAAACTGCAGAGGAATGAACTGTGGTAGAATACAGAGGTTCCTGAACTATGATACATGTCCAGTCAGTTGTGTATTGAAGTTCCTTGTGTGTCCAGGCACAGAGCTGCTGCAGGTGGGGATATTCAGCAGACACACTTGTGAACTCCGAGTGTACTATAGATACCTGCACCTTTTGCACTATAGAAAAGCGATACAGGTAATTTCATCACACTTGCTGAAGAAACATTTATGCTTTCATAGAAAGAAACATTAGTTTAAGAAATGTTAATTGTATTTTATGTTTGTGTTGAGATATTCTTAATACAGTGAAGTAACACAAGAAAACTTGTAGGTAACAACTGTGAAATTGTAGGATTTAAATACTAGTGAACATTTGCTTTAGATAAAAATACACCTTTGTGGGGCCTGAATGTATGGAACAAACTGTAAGTGTGTGCTTGGCTATGTAGAAATGGAAGGTATTCTGTGAATATATGCACTTCTCAAAATATTTAATTGTCCAGTGAAGATGGTGAAAACAGTACTGTGCTTTTTCCTTGCATATTTTTTTTAAATGAAATCAAGGTCTCCAACTTCACCCATTTGAAGTTCTTCCTGTTCAAATTCCTACTTCTCAAGTTATGTGATCATGAATGTGATCAGCTTCCATCCTTTAGGACTGTAGCAAAATGGGGACAGAGGGAGAAATTACAGTCTTGGGGCTGAAATTTAAATATTAGAGGATCCTAAGTTTACTAAAAATAAAAATACCTCATAATAAAAGTGTTTGATTTGCAAGGAACTATAATTTAAAAACTTATTTTCTGGTTGTGCTTTACAATACTGACTGTTATTTCCAGAAAGTATTCAAACTATAGAAGGAAGGGCCCCTTAATTTTGATGTCACAGAAAGCTAGAACCAAGTGTCCTCTTTTTTTCATCCCTTCCCCCGTGATCTCACTGGAAAAACTGCCCTCTGGAAAGGTGCAGATAAAACCCTCCAGGTCTAACCATAACACTTGAAGACACAGCTGCCCACTAAGTAGAAAATATGGTATTCAAAGTTTAATCATATGAATATTGTGCACTCATCCATCTTGATTTAAAATGCCGTTGGAGATAATTATTTTAACCTTGCTTTGCATATGGAGTGATGCACTTCACTCGTAAGAGAGAAGCAGCAATGTCTTTATTGATATAAAACAATGATTTAACAGGGTTCAATGGCAAGGTACGCTTGGTTAGTTACTGCACAGAGGACACAGTCAGACAGACCTATCTGGGGAGGATCCTCTTGAATCACAGGATTCAGAGAGGACCTCCTTGCTTTCCAGACTCCTACTCAGAGGGGTCGAGGTGCAACTGGGTCCAATCCTCGTCCCAGGCTTGGTCAGCAGTTTATGTCTGAGGGGTTATATGTGCACAGTCTAAGATACAATCTTAATGAAGCTTACAACGTTTAGCAAACTATTAGTCACTTACTGAGGATTTGTTGCAGCAAAGAATCTCTCAATATCGAGGAGTAAGGGATCTCTGCAGCAGGTGTAACCTTGAGAGTGGTCCCTCAAGGGGAGACCCTGTCGTGCAGCCAGCTACTGTGCAGGACAGCTCAAAGGACTCTTGGGCTGCTCACTGATTGCAGGGTAAGATCACAGAATCATAGTCATATTTGCATACTGACTGCAGGTCTTAGTTTCGTTCATATTTGGCTTGAGGTGAATGTCGATCGACACTCTGCTCAAATTAGCCCGTGGCTGATGTGTTGCTGCCTGTCTCCCCTGAACCCACTTTGAGCTGGATGCAGCCATTGACCAGAGGCATCCATGTAGTTATAAGGTAGTTTTCACTATGGAAAGATGTTAATAAAAACGTTGTCTTAAAAAGGCTAAAAGATTAATTACTAATTAGGATAAAAAAAAAAAAAAAAAAAAAATCCAATGCGCAGGCTGGAAGGTGGAAAGACCTTCCCCGGATCTTTGCTCGCGAAGACTGGCCATTATTATTAATTAGGATAATTATGTTTTTTAAGAAAGCAGTAGGACTGAACAGAAAATATGCCAAACTGTATCTAAGAAAATTGTTTATAAATAAAATGTTAAGGCCATTCAGCTGTCTTGGTTAATGTATACTCTAACAATATTTTTGTCTGTTTGTTTGTTTTTGTTATGAAACAGGCTCAAAAATCAAGAAGTTGGTGTACCCTGCAAGTCTCATGGGTATCGCTACCTCCATGTATTACCCTCAGCAAGCAGTTGCTATTGCAAAGGTCAGTGATGAAACCTTTCTTTGGAGAACTGTCTCATTTTGATTATTGCCTCCTAACTTCAAATTAACTGGTAATCCATTTTTGAAAGCCATTTCAGTGTTCTTGGCACTTAACAAAATTACAGTTATTTTGTCAAAGCACATACAGTCTGGGCTGAAAGGCAGTCAGACATCCTGTTCCTTTTAGTGACATTTTTTTTCCTAACATCTGCAGTAGTCTCTTCTGTTTGAGGAATATAATTTCCTTTCTAAATCTCTAACCTCAAATAATATTAGCATAAATATGCTAAGTGAATACAGTTTGTGTGTTTACTTATAATGCTAAGGAAGCCTGAAATATCTTGAAAACAAGATGAAACAAGATGAAAAGAAAGAAAAAGAATTATATACAGAAATCACAGGAACAACATTTTGAGATAAATGTTATTGATATTTTCTGGTTTGTGTTGATTAGGGTTTTAAGAAAGATAGCATGGGAATTCTGGAAGTGGGTAAGGATGCTGCTGCATAATTATAGGATGCTTTCCCTTTTTATGGATTTGTTGTTTTAGGCACATAAGAAGCATGTTGACTTATAGTTGTTTAAGTGGGTTTCCTGTGAAGGGAAGAACTGAAGAGACCAAATAGTAGCCCCTACTAATGTCAGATTATGTGGCTTCCTGTCCACACTTAGTTGTAGTGGCAGATTCCTCAGTTCTCAGCACATTCTGTTTCCAGTCCAGCTTTTAACCTCTCACAGTGCACCTATTTAATGTGTCAGAAATTCTTTGAAATGTCTTTGGTAAATTTGCCATCCAGTTATTGGCCACTTGTGAATAACTCTGAGATGTCAGAGTGATAATATCACATTGTCAAGAACATATGACATTCTTTGAAAACGGGTCATTGACTTAGGAGGAGTCAAAACTGCTGTGTTTGAGCTCTGCCAGCAGGGTGATACCCTGATCTTGGATGGAATCTTTTTTTAGTGCCTCCAGGATTCAGATGCTCTAAATACATGTAATTCTGCTGACTTATTCTCAGAGAGTGGAAATTATGCAAGTGGCAGGAAAAAAAAATCAAAATTTAAGAAGCTTAGACATTTCTATTGGAAGCTGCATATTAAAATTCTAGTTGTCTTTTGAACAATGAAGCGGGAAGCGATTGAACGCTGTTCCAACTGAGGTTATTGTTTTGAAAGAAGCTCAGTTCAGTCTTAACTATGGATTTGCTACTAACAGCTTCACAATACCTTGTTTATTTTATGAGAACTTTGAAGTGCATGGTTGCTCTTTGATTAATTCACAGTTCTTAGTTTGACTGTAATGAAAAATCTGATAGGAGATTGGAATAGGTTTAGCTTTGTTGATTTGGTCAGGACACTAGACATATGAATTTGGAAACTTCTGTGGGGAGAGTGATATCCTAGGTACTGTTTTGGTTCCCCTAATCTCTCTTGTGCTTTGCTTTTCTTAAAAAAGCAAGGTTTTAAGCATATCAGATCTTACCATCCATAATTTTTATGCTTTAATCTGAAATTGGAAACACTTTCCTCTCTTATTATTTTGAAATGTTTCATAGGCCTTTCAAAAATTTCTCTAAGCATAGAAAGGGAAGTCTGCAGTACAGGGCTCACTTGTCAAGTTAATAAAACAGTGTAGGAAATATTCTGGATCATAAGTTTAATATTTTGATCTATTTTTTATGTTATGGGGTTTTTTATTTTTCTTCCACATTTAAGTGCTTCACCACTGCTTTTTTATTTACAGTCCTATCACTCATTTGGTCTTGTGTTGTTTTTTATTTGGTGGATTTTTTTCCTTCCCACTTTTATTTAAGATTTTCCATTGGAGAGTTGGAAATAAGTGCAGCAAAATATATTTGCTGTTGAGGTACAACACTTGGTTCATCTGGAAGTAAACCTTTATCTTCAATTAAAGTGATGAATTGCTAAGTGAAGTTACAGCAATGAGTTCCTCATTGGTAGGTAATTTACAGACACTAATCATCTAACTGGAGGCTGAAGAAATGCATAGAGTATTATTTTTTTCCCCCTAATAAAACACAATTTTTTAAGGGATTTATTTCCTCACTGCAAATATTACTTTAGTTTTTATAGCTTTGAACAAAAGGTCAGACTGTATATGTGGTAAGGAAATTGAATTTAAGACTAAACTTTGGTTTTTCTTTGGAATTTTAACTAGCGTTTTGAAACTGTGTTGCTAATCATAATATATTAAAAATATTTTGTATTTACTGTGGCTTATCTTTCATCTGGAAAAAACTTTCCATTATGTAGTTACTTAAATCACTCTATCACTAAAATGAAATTTTGTTCCTTGTTATTAGAACCTTTTAAATTTCCTAAAGTACTGTTTGTTATGCTTTCCTTCTTCTTGCATATTAGGAAGCTTTTTTTTCTTTCAAGTTTTGTTTCTTCAACAACAAAGCACACTTTTTCTATGTCCTTTGAACCTTTACCTTGCCCAGTTCAGTCCATAAGGCATAAACAGCTGTACTGGCACAGCTGGGAGCATGACATGATTCCAGGAACCGTGGGTTGGAAAGAAGGAGCTGGGGTCGTTTGATCCATGTTTTCTGCCAAACGCTTGTGAAATGGCACTGTGACTGCTCAGTTAACAGTGCAAATGTAGAAAACCCAGTGCATTCTTAGTTTAGTTTCTCAGCATGCAGTGTAGGTAGAGAATGCCAATTATAATTCTGTATGTATGGAATTCTGTAGAACATGCAGTATGGTCAGTACAGCATGATTATGGTCCTACGTGGAATTAAAATATGGAAGCTTCTTTCCATGCACATTGGGCCTTGGAGACCACTGGTGCTGTGGTAGAGCCCAAGAGGGGTGTTCTTGGCCCAAGGTGACTTTCAGACTTTCAGAGTCCCTGTTGAGAACCCCTCCATATGACTTTTGAACTTGTTTGTTCAGACTTTGGCATACAAACTTACAGTGTTGCACTGGACAGTGATGATGTTTCAGGATGTTGTAATTTAACACAAACAAGCTGGAAATCATCTTCCAGAAATTAAGGATTCCAGGTGACTGAATGGAACAACTTGTCCTTCTTTGAAAGGAACTACTTGTATAGATGTTTGAATGAAGACTTTGAACAACTGAATAAACTGTTTGTTTTGTTATTGTTCCTGTTACTTTTCCTGGTTGGAAGTGCCACTACCAAGAATAGTGGTGGCAACTGCAGTACCCACCTGCTTCCTCTTCAGCCGCTCCATGGGAGGTGTACAACACAAGCCCAATGCGTGACTCGTGTTGTCTTCATGAGAGGACACACTGGGTAGTTATGAAAATGTCGTGTCAGTGTTCCTGTCATTTCCAGTCTGTCTAGCAGCTGTATTTTCCTACCCATGTGAGCTGTGAAGGTGTGTGCGGGTCCTGACTCTTGGCAGGTGTGCACAGTGTGTAAACATTGGTTGTTTGGGACAGACTGAACTGTCTGGGTTGCTGTACCTTGTGGCGTAGCTACTTTACTCCAGCAGCATGAATGGCCAGTTTCTCATTTTGTGCAATTCACAAATCATTTGGTCATATGACTCCTCTAATAAGAATATTTTTAAGTTTGTACTGTTAGGTATTTAGTGTCTTAAGTATTTTAATGGATTACTTGTAAGCAGAAACAAAAATCTGCTTATACATAGTTGTTTTTTCTCATTTGATGTTGATAGCTGTGTCCTCAGTAACAGTGCAGACAGAAAAAAAACAAACCCTTTTTTATTGTGGTTATTTTTCAGTCCTGGTAGGCTTGCACAGGGGATCATACCATCTTTTCAGATGAGCCAACTGGTCTCTTGAAATGCTTGAGAATAAACAATCCTGATACTGAAAAAGAAAATAACAATCTGTACCTGCAATGTTTGAATTGAGGAGTTCTGGAGATTTAGCTGTTTCAGTTGATGTGCTTTTTTCTGATGACCTTTATCACCTTGAATTTTAGAGAAAACCCAGTGCATCCTACAGACTTGTTTCAAACTGAAGTACAGCTGTAATTGTCAAATATGGTGACAAACAGGCTACTTTGTGTTTAAAACAACCTAGATTTTGATTTTAGTTGTGACTTGGAAATGTGGTTGCTGATTTTAAATTCTATTTATTAAGTAGTCTCTTTTGTAAGGTAGAACATGATCTCTGCCCAGAAGCACATCTGTACCTCTGTGGCACATAACTGGTGTAATCAATCTTGTTCAGGCACACTGCCCCACAGTAGAACCCCTTGGCAAGGGTGTTGTGGATGATAAAAAGTTGCACTTCTCCCTGAAGTCCATGCAAGAAGTTCATAGGAGGGAAATTCCTTGGGTGTTGTTACACACATAGAAATCACCTCTGACTCAGGAAATCTCTGAGCAGTGAAATGATGGAGACTGAAAAAAACTTTAAAATGTAATTTGAAAACTTTTTCAGAGACATCAGAAAACTGTTTCAGAAACATTTATGCTTGCCCTGTTCTCATAGTTTGGGTTTTCCAGCTTTGCCTGCTGTAGGAGATAGGGCAATACCTTTTTATTTCTTGAGTTCATAAGGTTTTTTTTAGTTTAATATCTATTTATGTTGGGAAAAATGTCCATTTTGCTGTTCTTTATTTGTAAGAAAACTGATAGTGACACGAAAGGGAATGTAGACCTGAGCCTTACAATGAAAAGGTTCCATATCACATAAGGGGTGAGGGATAGTGTTTTGTTAGACCTAGGGATTTTTCCTGTTGTAAAACACCTGATGGTGTAATATAGTAAACACAGTCTTTCCTAGCTGTGTTCTGTTCTGAGAGTTGACAGCTGGTTATTTATCACAGCCATCTATCAGCAAGTTCTAAACAGCCAATAAAAAGAAACAAAGGGGTACTCCTGCTGTTTGCCAAAGCAGTGAAAACATAAAATTGCAAAATAGTGACAAACTAAGCAGGAGTGGGTTTTTTTGGTCTTTAAAATGAGTATGGTCAAATTGAGACATAATTTGCGTAAGTTAACTCTATTGAATGTCAAATACTGTGAAAGCCGGAATTGTTTCCATGCAGCATCATTTCACTCCTCTTTGTACATTTTCAGATATTCAAATAGTTTTTTTAGGAAGTTGGTTTTTCTTATTCCTCATGTGTCATCTTTATTAATGCTGTATACCCTGAGCTTGAACAGGAAGAGTTAAACATCTTGTGTTTTACGACTTCTTCCACTTAAACAAGAAGCAAAGTGATGTTTCTCAGATTATTAAGTTCTAAAAACTTCTGTTTCAAAGGTTGCTGGCACACAGCTGTATGATTGGAGTCTTCAAGGATATATTGCTGTAGAATCTCTTTGGAAGGATACTCCTAAGAAGAAGAAATCGGGGGAAAAAAGTGATAAGGTAAGAAGTGTGAGGAAGTTGATTTCTGAATTTACCACTACCATTTCAGGCAAAAAATTTATAAATAGTAGTGGCTTTTATTTCTGAAGACAAATATTTCATTCTGTCTTTCTAAGCTGTGGAAAAATATTAAGCCTATTTCAAGTTAAGCTTTCAGAAATGCTGTTTGTAAGTTTTCTTTAGTCTAATCTGATACAGGTGAGCAAACAGACTTGTAGGAAATATATGTAGATAGCTTAGTGAAGCTGAGTGTGAGAGACTGGAGAAAGTGCAAGGGGGTTAAATGTGTGCCAGGGAGAGCCTGTAAAGTTTTTTGGCTTTTTTTTTTAACTGCTGCTTAAAGAAATGAAAGTTCAGGTGTGAAACACAGAGCTTCGGTGGTTTTAAATTCACTTCTAAACTCACTGAGACTCTAATTCCTGACTTCTAGGCAACTATGCTTGTTCTGTAGGTACAAACTGCTGCCCAAACTGCAGGCTGCTTCCCATCTCTTATTGTAGTTGTTTAATGTAGCCTGGCAAAACCAACAGATAATTTGAAAACAACTTTGAGCCAACAGAAAGTCTTGGTCTCCTGCTGTGGACCCCCTGCTTGAGCCATAGCTCTCAGCTGGGAGAGAGATGTTTTGGAGAGGCAGTTGCACTCCAATAGCCTGCAGGTGTGGGACCAGTTCTCTGGGTAGGTCTAGGTGCAGGACTAGTTCCAAACAAGTTAGGTTGGAGAAATGCTCACATGTCTTGACAGTTGCCGAGTCTTCTGAAGTGGAGACTTTCATCAGTGGATGCTCATCTTATATCGGCCCAAGGCACTTCAGTAAATGCATTTGGAATAAAGAAAGGTCAGTTAATCATACTGTACCTTTCCTAAAACCTAGGCTGTCAGAAAGAATCTCAAGAAAAAGGGCAGTGTTAAAATACTTCAGCATGGCAAATGGACAGCATTAATAAAAAATAGCTGAGCTTTTTATTTTATTGTGTCTCAGCCTTTCAAAAGGAAACTCGTGGCTGTTATTGGAAGGCAAAAATTTTTGATGCTTTCATCTTATTATAAGGCTTACTCAGGCACTTACTACCTCAGCAGAAAAACAAATGACATGCAAAATTGCAGAGACCACTAAGTAAACACACTTCTTTCTCTTCCTCCTTGCAGAATCTTTAAATCACACCCCTTAGTTGCCAAAACATGTTACATGCACAGAGGAGCAAAATGCCACTGCTTGGTGTCCTCCTAAAGTTCATATCCTTGTTCAGATATTGTTGGTGTTAACTGTTGCCATTTAACTTGATGGATTAGACAAGATACAGAATCCTGTCACTCTAATGAAGGAACAGTAACAACTTGATGAAACTGCCAGTGTTTCAGATGCTCTGAAGCTTCCTTTGGTCTGCATTGGTGAAGCTGTATAAGATACATAATTGAGAATTTGGGTGGGTAGGGGTGGGTTTGTTTTGTTTAAGTTGTTTTGTTTGTTTTTAAAGATGGCATTGTGATGTTCTATCAGGATATGGTCAGTCACAGTTAATAAAAATCTATACCTTTTTTATACATGTAAGCACTGGTGTGTCCCTAATGTGAGCTGTGAGATGTGAAATCTACCTTGGAAAAACCTTTACAGTCTGTCTCTAGTGCTGTGTGGTTATATCAGTGCAAAATAAGTAATTTTTGTTCATACAGGTGATTAGATCCACCAAATCAATATCAACTTTTCCAGCAAAAGAACTTCTGTTAAAGTTCCATTTTTATTGGAGTTTTTACTGGTACAGAAATGGAAGAAAATACTTTTTAATTATCATGTACTAAAGTTGGCAAAGCATTCTAGGATAAATTCTGGGACTTCTGTCTTCATTTGACAGCCCTGTGGAAGAATTTGTTTGCTTTTGTATACATATTTCTTATTGTCATACTAGGCAGCTAGGTTCCTTAACTAGTGAAGACAAGCCTAAATGTTGTTCTTGAGTTGTTATTGCAGCAGATGTAACCCATTTCATGAAACTATGCCAGAGCAGAAGATGTTATTTTTTGTTTTTACTCTAGCATTTTCCTGTTGCTACACAAAGGATTCTTGCAAATAGTCAAGCAATATATGGGTGGCTCTTCTTGGCCTCTGTTAATTTGTTACGTTGCTCATAATTTGTTTGATAAGTCATAGGTACCACAGCTGTGCATAACTTCATGTTTGTGCAGCAATATGTCATTAAAAGAAATGTGGTTTGTTAAATTTTCTGAAGGTTTTATGAAACAAAAACCTGTGCCAAATTGAGGTCATATCAACTGAATTCTAAGTTCTGCCAAGAAAGATGAATTCCAGGACCTCCTGTGGCTACATTTCAGAACACTGTGGCTGCAGCCCCTCCATACAGCAAGTCAGTCTGATAAGTTTTTTAATACACTGTTTTGTTGAAGGATAGAGCTCTTCAGGACATCAGGGTGAAAGCCCTCTGCTAAAACTACACAAGTGCCATAAGTGAAAATCAGTGTTCATACTTTTATTTCCAGAAGGATGAAACATTTTCCCAATAAGGGACAGTGGGAGTAGTTTTTCAGCTTCTGTATTCTTTATCTTGATATAAAGTGGGCAGCTTTTTACTTCTTCCCTGAGGTAGAAGAAATGTAACCATTAGGTGGGAGGTCCAGGTGTATTTTAAGGGGGTTATCTTCTGAAAATCTTTTGCTTCCTGGAGTGATCTTTACTCACCAGAAGTAATTTGACAAAAACCAGTGGAACTGGTATTAGCATTTATATTACCACTTCAAGGGAAGTGATAGTAAAATGGAAGATATGTTACTCAAACTTTGTTTATCTTAAGCTTAGTGTGCAAAATTTGTTGAGAATCGTACTAATTTATGCCTTTATGCAGTTTTTTAGAATGATGTGTTTTGAAACCATTTTGAGTAGCTTTAGGCATCAGACTTTCGTTACTGGGGTTTTAAAGTTATGAAGGCTAATACCCTACATGCCTTCAGCTAATCTTTGTGAGTAACTGGTCTCTCTGTTCTGCCCAATAATATCACAATTCATGTGAGATCATCTTTTTCTACATTTCTTTTTGTCTGCACTTTTTGCCTTCAGTGCACACAGAACTAACTACCTGAACTGTTAAGGCAGCGAATTGCAGCTTTTTCCTCCCCCTTTTTTTTTTCTCTCCCCAGCAGTCTGTATTTAATATCGGCTGAGTTTATCAGCTTTAATAGCTTAGCTCAGAGGGATGGATGAACCATAGCAGCTTGAGGATTTTGTGCAACAGCATAAATTTTTAGGACTGTGGTTTTCTATACAAATGGATTCTAATTTATTTACAGAAAACTGCTTAAAGATAAATATTTCAGAGCCACAGTTCAATACATCCCACCTGTGAGTTTCTAACAATTGGGCCTTGCTTGTCAGTCAGTTCATTTTGATATATTTTTAACAATTCTGGATTCTCTTTCTTCCCACAACCCTGAATTGGCACCCCTTTTTTACTGAAGTGGCCAAATTGTGCAAAACCAGAGCAGCACTGGAGTTCTAAAAACACCCTTCTTTTCATCCCTTGTTCCTTTCTTCTTGTATGTGCTCTTTCCCACTTTGGCCCAACTAGTAGTAGGACCTCACAGAAAACTAATTTCCTTCTCAGCTTCAGAGATTGAGAGAAATTCTTAGGGCTTATTATTTGGTTTCCATTCCTGTCTGGTCTGTTGATTGACACCACCAGTGACTTAGCAACGCTAATATATAATACATATAAATTTTTAACCTATATATGTTTTTATTACATGTATAAAAGATATAAATATTTTAAAAATATCTCTATTACTATCTCTGGGTGTTTTTTAAGTGCTAGCTGGTTACAGAGTGCTTCCAGGTGCAAAGAGGACTCAGCTTTGGGTGCTGGTTTCCTGCACTTGCTCAGAACAAACATCAAGGAAATTGTGGACCTGAACCTTCCTCACCTGAAAGCTCTGAGGAAAGTTGTGGTGTCAGTGTTTTGACCGGGGAGCTTTAACAGCAGCATCATGGATTGTGACCATAGCAAACCTTAAATTTAGTTTCAAGAGAGTTTTTAAGTCACTTGTGTTTTGATCATCTTATAAAAAACAGCATAAGCAGCTGAGAGAGCTTCTTTCTACAGAAAATGCTTGTAAGGTCTTGTCTTCAGAACAGACAAGCCTCTGAACAGACAAACAAAAGTTTGGTCAGCTGAACTAAAAGATAAACATCTACTTTGGGCAGAAAATGCTGTTTCCTGTTATATGCCCTCCTTTTATTGTTTGGTAGTAAGAACAACAACAGTATAAAACTTGTAAAAAATATGACTTCTTTTGGAATTGATCCTTAGTGTGGGCAGAAGGGAATTTAGATGTGTTAGAGGTGGGAAAGACAGAATCTACTCTACAAAAATTTGGTTTCTTTAAGGGCAACATTTTTGAAAGTGTTTCATATTTCTGTGAGAGTTAAGTTCAAGCTCAACTTAAAGAAAAGAGTAAGTTATTGATTGACTGGGGAGGAGGAATAGTGATGTTCTCCTTATTCTAAGCAATACATTGCAAACAAAAGAGGACAGAAGAAAAAGTAAATTATTAATCTGTAAGCCCAGGTGAGCCTATGTTTTTCTTTTGCAGCTGCTGGGTTTTTTTTGTTTTTTTTTTTTCTGGTGGCCAGACTCTCCCTTTCAAGAGTTCTCATAAGCATGAGAGATGTATACCTACCTTTGAAGTTATAATTTCTAAGAATAGGTGCCAGCGTAAAAGGGCCTGGCCACCTGCAAAACTTCTTCAGAGGCAGCAACAGAAACTTCTGCACCTGGCTTGGCTGTGAGGGAGAAAGGCACCACACATTTGGGGGTTTTGACATTAAGCTGGTTTGCTTTGGGGTGTTTTTCTTTGTACAGAAGGAAAATTTTCAGATAAATCGTTGTGGGGTTTTTTAAAGTTGTTTAAAATTAAGGTCTCCATATATCTCTGTTAGATACTGTGAGCTAAGTCAGGGTGTCTTTTAATCACTCATGTACTGAAACCATACAAAAAGCATTGTATAATGTGAAAATGATAGTTGTATTGTTTTCAGTTTCAAATAATGATTTTTTTTTTAATCCCATGGAACCCCAATATATTGAACACTTTATAATGAATGTGTTATGGAGATTTCTTATAAAACTGTCAAAAGCATAAGAAGGCAAAATATTTCCCCTTTTACTGTAGGATAGAGCTCTGATGTGTGAACTCCTCTGGCCACCCAGATTTGTTATGGAAAGGTTGTGTTTTGAGCCAGAAAGTAGAAAGACTGTCTTGAATATGTGCCTGCTTCTAATTATGAGAGGGCATCATGGCACAGAGGAGGTCTGTCTTCTGGGTCATTGATCTAAACACATTTTTTGCTTCTGCTCTGGTTTTGAGTGTGACTAGAGAACTTTGGCACCTTTTTGTAAAATTATGTGTGTGTATTTCCTGTGCCAGCTCAAAGGATGTCCTTTTCTGGCTAACCCGTATTACTGCTTGAGCAGCCTCACTCAGGCTCGTTATTTACGCAGTGGGCACATGCAGTGGATGGAGTTAAAAGTCCTTCTTAGTTGCTAATCCAGAAAATGAATTTTTGTGAGGAATGACAGTTTAGCAGTGGATTGGCTGAATTAAATAACTCAGGCTTAATAGATCTAGTGAAGACAAGCCCCATGTTGAGATCTGTTAAACTCACAGAGACAAAGGAACTTAGCAAGCCCCCTGTTTTCTTGTATATATGTGTGTGTTGCTTTTTCCTCTTCCGGAATATTTTAAAGAAAAAAAGTCTTACCTAGATGATAATTGCTTTTTACAAGTTAAAACAGGCAACTGGAAAAATACAGACTTCTCTGTGAACAACTTATTTTTAGTTCATTTGTTCAGGATTGAGTAAACCTCAAGGTGAGGCATCGTTAGTCAGATCATTCATTATAAATTGTAGCAAAATGTCATAACTTACAAGTTCCTGTACAGGAAAATTACAGAATAGACCATTATTTTGAAATAGGTGTGGTTTGTGACTTTGATTTCCTATCCTATGAAATATTCAGAGTAGTGATCAAACCAAAAAGGGCTTTTGAAAGAATCACCTTTCAAAGGTCTTGTTAGGCATTTTTTGAATAAGAAAGTTAAGAATTGTCTTCATAATTGAGTCTTGATTTGTTGAGTCCATATCTCCAGCACAGAATATGCAGGGTCTCATAGACTTATTGTGCTTAGTTTGTGCTGCCTTATTGTGCTTAGTTTGTAATGTATAAATTTGACCCATCCTGTGAAATGTCTTCCAGCCTATTCTACCTTCTTTTGTTACATTTCCCATCAGTTTTAGAATTACAGAATCACAGAATGGTTTGGGTTGGAAGGGACTTTAAAGATCTTCTAGTTCCAACTCCCCTGCCACAGGCAGGAACACCTTCCACTAGACCAGGTTGCTCAGAGCCCCATCCAGCCTGACCTTGAACACTTTCAGGATTGGGACATCCACAACTTCTCTGGGCAACCTGTTCCAGAGCCTCACCACCTCACAGTAATGAATTTCTTCCTTATATCTAACCTAAACCTGCCCTCTTTCAGTTTAAAGCCATTCATTCCCCCTTGTTCTATCACTGTCTGGGTCCCTTTCCTCCAGCGTGTTGGCTGCACCACACAGCGTGGTGGTGTCAGCAAACTTCCTGGGGGTGTTTTCAACCCCACTGGCCATGTTGCTGACAGAGTTAGACAGAGCCAGTCCCAGCACTGACCCCTGAGGATGCCACTCGTCACTGGTCTCCACTTGGACATCAAACTGCTGAAGACAACTCTTTGAGTGTGACCATCCAGCCAGTTCCTTACCCACCAATGGATAATCTGTTATATCCATGTCTCTCCAGTTCAGAGACAAGGATGTCGTGCCAGACAGTGTCAAATGCTTTGCACAAGGTAGATATCACTCTTCATCAGTCACTATTCCCTCATCTACCACCGCTGTAACTTTGTCATAGAAGGCCACCAACTTTGTCAGGCACACTTTGCCATTAGTGAAGCTGTGTTGGCCATCACCTGTCATCTCCTTATTTAAGTCATATTGGTTAAAACGCCTTTCTAAAATAAAAAGGAAATGCCATTTAATTTTCATGGGTAGAATTTAGGAGGAATTGAGGCTGGGTACCACCTCTGATCCTTTCACCCAACCGCCTCCCATTCAAAGCAGAGACAGCTTCAAAGTTAGATTTGGTGGCTCAGGCCTTGTGCTGAATATTTCCAAGGGTGGAGATTTAGAAAGTTCTCTGGAAAACGTGGTCCAGTGATCAGTGGTGTGATACACTTATAATTTTTTGGCCTTTAGATCTAAGAGAAATTTGCCATGCTCCTCTGTCCTTTTCTCTGTGTCCTTTTGTTGTGAACCTCTGAGAAGAACCCAGCTTTTCCAAATATGTAAATGCCCATTAAGGAACTGAGGATAGGAATTAGGTTCCCCCTTTGGTCTTCGCCAGGCTGGACAGACCCACATCTCAGCCTGCCCTTATATGTCATGTGCTTCAGTCCCCAAGCCATGTGTGGGGCCTTTAAGTACTTTTTTTATTGATATCTATTTAAAACTATAATCAAATGCCTGTTTTGTTATAGCATCTTGGCAAATAGATAGACTGGACACTGCAACAAGCTTCTCTTCATTCTTTGATTTCTATCATTTATTTCAGGGAAAGTGTGAGAACACTCTCTCAAAGGATATGTGCTAAAAGAGACCTATTGTATAAATCCACACAGAATTCAAAGAATGCAAAGTAACAACTACTCTGTGGGTATTCACCCTCTGTTATTAGTGCAGACAAAATGAGTCAATTAAAGCACTTCAGTTGAACTACTGCTTCTCTCAAATCCTCTAATTGCTCAGCTAACTACAGGAAAACCAAAGTCTAGAAAGTGTTTGGGAGATCATATTTGAGTGTATTATACTGAAGTAGTCTCATCAACCACCACTTGATCTGTAAGACATTTTTTGTTTTAGCTTTTGAAAAGGGTTTCTGTTCTGGCAAAAACATTAATCGTGGACTGCCTCAATTGAAATCTTGTGCACATTTTTCACTCCTCAAGGGTGATGCAGTTGGTGACAAACCCCTGGAAGTCCATGCTGCTTCAAATAAAGAGCAAGCCCAGAAGTAAAACGCTACATCACCTGGCATCAAACAGGTAAAGAATAAAGACTGATAATAGTTTGTGGCTACAGCAGCAAAGTAACCTGGAAAAGCTGAACATTTGCAAGTTTGACTTATGTTCTTCATACTGATGAGGAAAGGAGGGGACAGATAACTTTGTTTTTAACATTTGTCAAGAACATGCATGCTCCTTAACGCTATTTAAGTTAAAGAATTTAAATTCTTTGTCTTCAGAGCACACAAAATAAATATATGTCTACTGGAAGGGTTCTGAGTTAATTGAGCAGGGCCTTGTGATTTTACTGTTAGTTGGTTTTGGTCTTTTATTTTTTTTTTCTTTCCCATTTCTTCCTCCCATACCAAAAACCTTTTTGCCTTCTATGTCACACTTGTACAAGTATGAAGGAGGGAAAAGAAACCTCTTCCCTGCTGATAAGTTTTCTCTAAAGATTTGTCAGTGCCAGGGTACAGTGTTGTCTTACAGGCTGTAACAGCCAACGATGTGCCTGACCTTTCATGTTAATGCACTTCCCAAATGAGACATTTCATCAGTTGGGAATAAATGATGGAGGAAATGGAGGCAGCATTTCCCAGTTCTCCAAGGCAGAAACTTGAGACACCAGTTCTGTTTCTGACTTGGCCTCGGGGCTGCTTTCTAAACTCCAGCAAGTCCTATGGTTACAGTTTCTAGAAAAGCAAAACAAAAACATCCTCTCGACTTTTTCAAGATGGTTCAGTTTCATAGAACAAAAATTACTCTGTATTTGAGGCTAATTATTAATAATTATAATGTAATTGGACATCATTTAGTACAGAATGTTAGATAATGTGCGCTCTGTTATCAGTTGATAAAGGGAATCTTTTATGAACATATTTTCTACTTGCTTGTCATTGCCCTGTATTATTTTTACATCATGGTAAAACCTGATTTTTCATCAGAAAATGATCCTGGCATTGTAGGGACTCCTCATTATTTTTCTCTGCAGTGTCCCAGTTAGTAGAAAAATTCTGGGTTTTTTCCTTACTGCCAACTGTGTAAATGGAGCCCAGATTTAGGAAACTGCACCGATTTTTTTCTTCCATGCTTTACTACCAGTCACATATGTTTGCACATGTGATGGAATGCACACATCTGCTGAGCAACAGCATTTCACTGTTACACAGCAACCTTTAAAAGCAAAATTATTTTTTCGTGTTTTTTCCCTTAATGTATTTTTAATGGCTATAGCTAATTCTCACAAGGGTGAAGAGGTGTGTTGACTGGCCGATATACTGAGGACATTAGTTTTTCCTTCAGACATCTGAATATATAAAGTCTTTAAGAAACATGTTTTCCAAGTATTTTGTAAAATAGTCATGTCAACTAAAAATTGAAAAATAATAGGAATATTTATGTGGTTTTTTTTGCTTTAAGATACCCAGGAGAACCAAGAGGAACAAAAGCCTCTCTACAATTCACTGAAATATTATTGTGCTTATTGTCAACTAGGACAGAGCAACTAAATTATAAAAAGCCAGGAAAATTGAACTTTTGGCTGGCACACTGTACAAATATCAAGGTTCACCACAAGCAGAAATCCATAAATAGCTGTTATTTTCTTTTAGCATTCTTTACTATGAATATCATTTTCTGTCAGGCCTTTATTCACTTTTTAAAATGTCAGCTTTTTGCTTCGGGCACGTTTTCTTTGTTTGGGGAAGGTTTTAAGGGAGTGAAGATAAATTGCTCAGGTGCTTGAAGTACCTGGATGGTGCTGGTTTTGAGACCTACGTGCTTCACTGCATGTGCCTTCTGGAGGAGATATATAAAGGGAACTGGTAAATTTTTGACCTCAGGCAACAAGTTGGTGAAAGTTCAATTCAGTCTCAGTTTCAGCTGTTCTGCAGGGGTGGTGATTTGTTACTTATATCCAGTTATTCAGCTCCATATTCAAGTCCAGATGTTTTGTTGGATTTGTGTGTTCCCAAAGGTTGGAGAACGTGGCTCTGGTCTTTGAAAAGACACTTTTTTTGTTGTTGTTGTTCTGAATGAGATCAGTCCTGAAAGTCTCACTGTATTTTCAACTGTTGGTAATATTCCTAGTTGAATGTGGTTACTAGAATAAAGACAATCTCATTTCCTCAATAATTTGCCACAGCATGGGTCTCTGAAGTGTGAATGGTCAGCCAAGGACAAAATCACTTCGGGCTGGAGACAGCAATGTGTTTCTCCATTCCAAAACCCAGCACCATTGCACCTCCTTTGTTATAGTTTTTCATCAATAATTATACACAAACTTCAGCTCAAACCACGTCCCATGGTGGAAGAAGCAAGCTGTAATTTTATCCAGCTGTTGTCTAGAGGAGTTGCACGGAATTGAGGGGGGGTTGTGTTTTTCCTTGAAGATAGCATATCTCATTTGCACTCTGTTCCAGTTCCATATTTATGTAATTCCATTTCTTTGAGTTAAATTACCCTGGTCTTACACCAGAGTAAGTAAGGTTAGGAAAACATACATTTTATAGGAATTTAAAAGAATTCTTTTTGAGGAAGTTGGTTAATTACACCAGATTCCAGTTGGTGTTTGGTTGCTGTGAAGTGTTCTTTCCCTTTTGTATTTCCACATAGGTCAACTATGGGAATTGAGTTCTCTAGAACAGACATGATCATTAGTGCTCTAATGTCAGTAATATGAAGAGTTAAATATCTCTTCTCCAAGTAAATTGGTATAGAGAATGTTTCTCAAATAGATTTTGATCAACTTGCCACATCAAAGGAAAAAAGTTTTAATGGGACTTTGACATTGAAAAGAAGAGGCCTATGGTATTTAATTCTGCTTTGTCCCTCCTTTCCTCTCCCCCGTGACCTCCGTTCCCTTTCTTTGGCTATAGGTGAAGAAAAATATAGATATAAGCAACAATTTCCCAAGAAAAAGATGAAAAACCATGTGAATCCATTTTGAATGTGACTAATCTGCCTTCTGCCTCGGGACAGTCTGGCTGGGTGCTGCTCAGGCTTCTGGTATGGATTCTGTGGAAGGACATTACGTGTTTTGGGTCAGTCTGGAGACATCGTCCTCCATTCTGCACTGGGACTGAAGTCTGCCCATGCTTGTCCCATTGCGGGATCAACATTGCAAGTAGCAAGTCTCAAAATCCCTGAGTCTCTTATTATTTATATATACAATAAAATTCCAGATACACAAAATGGTCCACTTTTTTTCCCTCCTCCTATCTTTTTTAAAGTCATGGATGCAATGTTTGCACAGTCCATGAAAGGTTCTAGAAATGTTGTTGACAGTGCCTGTATTTTTTTTGCCAGTGAGGGGAAGCTGGAAAGTAGCATGATGTTTTGGCTGACACAGGCTCATAGAATTAGGAATGGGAACAATTACAATGACTCTTGTGTTTTGTTGGAGTCTCCCCCTCCTTTCTATACGAGTCTTCTGCCTCATCAGTGCCAGCAGGAGGTATATAATGAAGCATCTGTGAGTTCCTGTCTCGTGGATGGATGGGAATGGAGCTGTTAATGTTTGTTCTTGTTTTTGTTTGAATGCACAGCACAATGGGAACCAGAATGTTGTGGTGGTGGGAACCAGCTATAGAATAACTTGGCTGTTTCCTTGTTCCCAGCCAGGGGAGGGGAGAAAAAAGCAAAGCGAAGGGAAATACAAAAGGATTTCCAGCATTTTGAAATCTTTGCACAATAAAACCCTTTCATCATTTGTTGCCATTTCCATGAGTCTCTCTTTTGGGGCTTGATGCTTCACAAGTTACTGTAATCTAAGTAGTTCAGAGCATTTAAAGCTGTGTTGGTGAGTCTTAAAATGCTCCTTAAATAATCAGTGAATATGAGGAATGGGGGAAGGATGAAATGAGATATGTCCTTGTATGAAACATTAACTTTTAAAAAGAGCAGAGAAGAAAATACAAAGTAAATCATACTCAAAATGCTTTAAAAAAAATCTTTGTTATTGCATGGTTAGATATTCCAGCTGAGCATATTCCATAAACTTTTAGAGAAAAACAAACAGACCTTGGCAATGTGAGAGCCAGTCTGTGTGGGCATTATAAAATGGGCCAACTCATTTTTAATAGAGGCATAAGGCATGTGGTTGCCTCAGGCAGAAAAACAGTGTCTCCCAACATGTTCAGTGCATGTTTTTACAATTGTTTTAGGCTGGTAAAGATGTATGTTGATATAGCAGAGTTCTCGCATGGGGTTTGGGAGGTATGTGTGTGTGGTTTTGTTTTTACTTTAAACTTGCCAACATGGTTCAAGCAGACTTGGGAGGATCAAAGTAGTGTTTTTGTCAGTAGTGGAAAGGAAACTTGGGAAATATCAAGCATAGCTGTAACTGCTCTGTTACACCACTCCTGCAATACAAGCATAGATTTGTTTCTTCCGTTAAAGATAGTTCTTCACTTATGCATTCTCATATCATATAGAGGGTGATTACCAGGGAATTAGGAATACAGCTTGAGATGCTGTAATTTTTTCAGTAGTATCTGGCATATGCCACACTGGCATTTAAGAACATGATTATTTGGTAATTCAGGTATTTTCACCCTTAGACTCCACCAAGAAGTGCTTTTCTCATTCTTATTTTTGATGCAGTTGTTAGCTGTTCTGTTTCTTTTTACTGCCTGCAAGGCAGAGGAAATTTTGCATGTCCAGTTTGTTTCATTCAAATGAAACAGTTTTAAAATCTTTATTTGTTCACATTTGTGTGTGTGTGCATGTTTAAAAAATACTGGGTTAAATAAACATCACTTAAATGCTTTTCACTTGATCACATCTTCATACCACATATTTACACTCTTGCTTAAAAATGTCCCAAGTGATTGACATCAAACCAGAATGCTTTTATCTAGCAGGAAATGACTGTCTTCAAGCACCTGCATACACACATGACAAGGAAATAGTTCCAAAATGTGAGCAAGACAGCCTTAGCTGAGATTCTTTCCTTATATCTTCTGTTTTCTACAACTGCAGGAAATAAAAAAAAGTTTCATGCTGGTAAGAGCCCAAGAGATTGTAAACATTCAACTTGGCACAAACTTTCCTAATGAGGAACAGGAGAGCAGTCAACCACTGTTGATATTATATATATATATATAAATATATTTGTTTGTATGCACACATGCACAGCTGCATGGAACTAAATTGTGCATGCATTATCTCCTGCCAGACTTTGCCTGTGGGTATTACAGTGTAAGCTAAAAATGGTGTATTCCCCACCCAAGCTTCATGTCAACAGTTTGGTCACCCTTCCAGTTGAAGGCTTTTTGGCTTGGTAACCAGAGTCTGTGCAGCTTATATAGTGTTCTCATCTCAGCATCCTCTGCTTCAGTGGCTGCTGGCAGATGTGTTGGGGCCAGGTTGCAGTGCTCTCTCTCAAAGACATTGACTTTAATCTGCAGCTTGTGGAAGTTGTAGAACCGGAGGCCGTTGGTTTGGCCCTTTGTTGGGATCACAATTCCTGTAGGCAGCATGTCAGTTGAGCGAAAGGGCACAGTGTAACAGCTCCTTTTGCTAGAAGGAACATCACCAACCTGGAGTAATCCTGTTAGCACAGATAAATGGGCACAGTCTTCCAGCCTTGAATAAAAACACGGGATTTTGCCACAAGTGTTCATTGCAAGATCCCGCTTTAGACTCTGTGCTCCAACTGCGGGAGGCCCCAGATACAGACTTATTATCAGGGGTAGCATTTGTCATTGCATCTGTCACCTTCAAGGAGACCTGTTGCTGCACTGCAATAAAGAGCAGGATTGGGACTGATGAGGAGGGAATTCTGTTTTACCCCTAGAGAAAACAGTGGCCTGGGAGATGAAGGGAATTGCTATTGCTCCATTTATTAGCCCTGTCAGAAAAACCTCAGTGTGAGCATATTTACTTCAAGATGAATATAAACTCCTGCTGCATGTGTTTCTTCTCCCCTTTTTTTTTTGTTTTGTTAAGGTTATTTCTGTACCTTCCTATAAATTCCAAGCTACTTCTAAAGCCAGTTTCATCACAGAGAGCATTTTGGCTCTTCAGGCTTGCTGGGGAGGCCGGTGTGGCTTCCTGCTGGACCTTCCTGGATGCGGCATCTCAAAGCAGCACCTGGATGGCCTGGCAGCTGGCTGGGTCAGCCCCACTGCGGAGTGGTTTTGACAGGTACAAAAGCTTCTTGTTTACAGGGAAAACCTGTGATAACAATATCATAACTACAAAGCAGAAGTTGTTTTGGAAAAAAAAAAGTGTTTCTAATTGTGCAACAACCTCCTGTCCTCTTTAGGTCTGTACCCGTTAGCTGATTCTTGTGTTTTCTGGCTGTGGATGGTTCTTAAATTGACTGGAGCTTTCTCAGGGTCCCTCTGGAAGAAATGTTGGTGTATTGATGCCATTGTGGTGTTTTCTCCTATTTCATGTCAGTGAAGTTCATCCCTGGCCATCTCTGTTTAAAGACGAAAGCCTGATCTGGACTTTCATCTTGTCTTGAAGTTCATGGATTCCTGCAGTTTCTTCTGCCACATTTTCAAGCTGGTTTTACTGGTAGCCATTGCACTGGTGTTGAAAGCTGGTGAATTCAAGGGTGGGCTGAGGATGTCTCACAGTTGATTACCAATCTTTCTCTAAGAATGCCTTTCTGCAAGGGAAATGGGCCTACAACACCTGCACCAGACTGAGCTGTCAGGCTCTGCATTTAAGGGTCTAAATCTGCCAGCTGACACACAAAGCGAGTTGGTGTCTGTCTGGGCTGTGTCCAACTGTGGCAGGTACATGGGATGCAATGCTCCATCACCATGCCCAGTTACAGAGGTATGATCCTGTTATGGGTAAGCTTTGCTGGATCTTCTGGAGAGAGGAAGATAGATCCCAGCTGACTTGCTGTGTGCTGGGAATAGCCTTGCTGCAGCCTGAGCTGTGCTCAGTTGTGATGCCAGAATCTTTGTTCCCACCATGAAAGCAGAGCAGTTGGGGCAATGGGACAGCTTAGTCAGGGAACTTCTCTTTTTGTTTATAGCGTGAATACAAACCCTCACAAGACTCTAGAATTTAACTGGATAGAGACTAAAGCTAAAGGATTACTTTATATGGAGCCTGAGCGTCTGGATCTTGCTCAGCAATGCTAACCTGAAGTTCCCAAGACAGCCTGTGAAGTAACAAGATGGGTCACATGCTACACGCTCTCTGGCTGAGGCGACAGAGGCTGTGTCAGGAAGGCTGTGGCTGCAGTTCTTTCCCAGCTTGGGTCCATCAGTCGTACCCGAGGAAGGTGGCCCGCAGGGCTGTGCAGACAAGCGCTGGAGGACTGTGTGACAGCCCCTCATTTTGCTTCAGGGGCTTGCTTAGTGTGCATTTTAAGGGAGTAGTGAGTTCAGCCACTGCATGCCTGAATAAAGAATAACCTCAGAATTTCTTCCTGCCTTGGCTGTTATGATGTGAAGGCCACAGGACCACACCACATCCCGTACCAAAACCTTCCAAAATCAGCTGTTCCGTGTCCCACTGCATCTAAGTCTTCCATGTCTTCACCTGAAGTGCCTTCGCTCAACTGCAGGGCGCAGCACTCGTGCCTTTGAGGAGTAATCAGTTCCTTTGAACTGAAGGTGAGACGCATCCAGCCCTTGGCAGGGAGCGCTGAGGAGCCCTGGCATGCCCCCGCTCCGCGGGCAGCTGGCTCTCCAGGGAAAGGAGCGGGGAGGGATGCCTCGAGCAGAGGTGCGCGATGATGCCAGCTCACATCTTTAGCTCAGGGATGTTCTCCCCCCAGAGGTGGGGGAAACACTCAGGCATAAAACCAGAAGAGTCTTCGTGGCTGTATGCACGTACCAGCTAAGGATCACAGGCAGGCAGCTGTGCAGAGAGCTCTCACCACCGCAGTTTTAGCCCCTCTAATTTCTTTTTTTTGTTGTTTTTAAAAACTGTATACAGAAAAAAGGGATTCTTCCCTTCCCCCCATCCCCTGCCCCAGATTAAGTTCACCAACGTCCTCTTTGTAAATTTAGCAAGCTTCAGACTCACTTCCTTTTGTCAGGAGACCTGAAAGAGCCATTTCCTGATTCGTACAGGGCTCTTGTATGCGCACACTAAGTGCTCATTCATGCCGTGAATCATAAAGGTAACCTCCGTTCAAAGCACTGCGCTGATACTTCGGCGTCGGACAAAAAAAAAAAAAAAGAGTTTTGTAATTGAACGGGTTTGTAATTCAGCGCAGGGCGCTGCGGTCATCTTTGCACGTTGTGAGGAGCCGCACCACTGGGGTTTTGATCTTCTGTCTTAACAGCGCCATTTACAAACTGCCCAAACTAAAACGGGCTGGTGAAAGCACCAGAGCCAGCCCAAAGGAATATATTTACTATCCTGTGCCAGGCTTGACACATTTTCCGTATCCTGCCAGAGATGAGGAATGGCATCGGGATGTGGGAGTGAGTCAGCCTGGGCCCCCGGCGCGGTGCCACGAGGAGCAGCCTGGCCGGGGCAGGCTCGGGGCTCAGCACTGCCCGGCGCACGCTGAACTGAACGGAGATGCTGGAGAAAACTCGGCTTCTTCCAGGAGCAAAGGGCTTACTCTCCTGTCTGTGGTTCAGAGATCTGTGAGGCACGGTCTGCTGTGTTTGTCCCTCCTGTACTCGGGTTCATATGACAGTAAAAGCAATGAGCTGTTATTGGCTGAAGGAAGAAAGAAGGAAACATGCACTGCTTGCCTCCCCCCATCCCTGCCAAGCGGGAGAG